CCTACTCTCTCAGAATTCTTGGCTACTAGGAGTATGGGTTTAAAGAAACATTTGTGCAGTACAGTTGGTTTTCTGAGAGATGTTGTGTCAAGGCTCATCCATGGGAAAACCTGGCAAGACTGGTGAGATAACATGAGTCTATGGATAGTTTCTTAATGGAAAAAATTAAATGCCAAACAGTCTCTGGTGAGGCATCGTAGGAATTGGAGTTGGGAACTAAGGACCTATGAATTTGGAGGCAGATGTACTATGCAAGACTTTACCATTAACCACTAAACGGTCCCAACTACAGATCAAGTGCATTTAATCTGACTTTCTAACATTCCATAGGGAAAGAAGGGTTCCTCTCTTTCTAGAGTATATACGCACATGTGTTTTTTGGTAGTGGTGGTTTCCAGTAGTGATTACAGGGCCCATCTAATACTGAGCAGAACAAACTATGAAGCCCAGAACTAGGACACTGAAATGCACACCACTATAAAACACCCCATGGCAGGTGACACTTTCCTTTTTCTTCTCCTCTAACACCCCCATTATCTCATCTATTTGGAGCCCTGGTTGGCACAGTAGTTAAGTGTTTGGCTGCTAACCAAAAGGTCGGCAGTTTGAATCCACCAGGCACTCCTTGGAAACCCTATGGGGCAGTTCTACTGTCGTATAGGGTCACTGAGTTGGAATCAACTTGACAGCAGTGGGTATTTGAATTTAATCCTCATTCTCTTCCCTATATTGTCTCATTTGGGCGCTTCATTTTTTTTCTGTTATCTCTATGTGGATCTAGTGTATACACGCACATGGTTTTTGGTAGTGGCCGTTTCCAGTATCTTTGGTCTAGCAAGACTTCCGTGTTGGTACTATTTTAAACGGTGAAAGTGACCATGGCTACCTGAAAATCGGGAAATACATGACCCCAGTTTCAAATGCTGCTATTAGGTTACTGATAAACAGAGTAATAGAGACACTATGAGGACATTGGTGGTTCAGTGGTAGAATTCTCCCCTTCCATGCTGGAGACCCAGGTCAATGCACCTCATGTAGAGCCACTACCCCATCTGTCAGTGGTGGCTTGTGTTGCTATGATGCTGAACAGGTTTCAGCGGAGCTTTCAAACTAAAAAGGACTAGGAAGAAAGGCATGGCAGTCTACTCCCAAAAAATCAGCCAGGGAAAACCCTATGGATCACAATGGTCCAAAGCAAAGACTAGGCACCAACTCAACTGCAGTTAACAAGAGAGATACTACACCATAGTGCAGGAGGAAGACTAACCCTATAAAAGAGTGAAGGAAAGGCAATTGCTACCACAAGAGTATTGAGAACTAGACAAGTAAATTCAAATACCTATAGCAGGTGGCATGGCGGCAAGGAATAAATGTTGAAGATTGGAAAAGGTTAAGAGGTGAGTCTAGGTTGAATGATGTAAGCATAGACTTTGGAGTCAAATACCTGGCTTTAAATTCTTACCTGTAGCCAAGTGATCTTTAGTAATTAAGGGTATGAGCTGAGTCTCAATATTTTCACCTAATTCATGAGATGGTTTTGAGGATTATGATAATATAGTAAGTATGCTGCTTAGAACATAAAATGGCATTCAGTTGTAATTGGTAGCTTTTGTAATTATGTTTAAGGAGACAAGGGTATCAAAACAGAACTGCTAGCCTACCAGTGTTAGAAGCTTTCAGAGAAAAGGAGACAACTGTAAACCAGAGGAAGAGTAATCTCTCACAGGCTAGACACAGGTTCACACGCCAGGCCACACAACAGTGAGCCTTTTTACTAGTTATTCAAGTTTAAAACCACATAGCGTAACAGTAGTGTTTAATTTACCACTAGGTGGCAACGATACAAGCTGAATTTCACTGACAAGGTTAATTTAAGAAAGTGAGCAAATCCAAACAGAAACTTCAAGCTTTTCAGTACAATTTTTTTTTTTTTTAGAAAAATGGAAATTTCCTCTATAGACAATTTAATTTATACCAGAATGTGTTATTATCTGGTTCGATATATATGCTAACTTCTGGTGCCTTTTCCCTCTGTGCACTGAGGCAGTTCATGTAAAATACAATTTTTAAACAGTTCTCATCACTGATAAATCTTTTTAAAAATCTAGACATATAACATAAAGATATCAGCTAGAAATTATGGAAATCTAAATATCTTTTTAAAGTCCTAGAATTCTAAGAAAGGTACTATACAATGCAAGGTATTACAATGAAAAAGTTACACCTTTTAAAAATGACTAATAGAGAGCAATTCTAAATTACTATTTTTAAAATTTTGGACCGAAGCATGAAATAATATTCAGATACTTTGCTTTTAAATCACAAACACATGAAATTAATATTCACATAGGTAAAGTCTTTTCAATGTCTTAAACATTGAGTTTACTAAGCAAATTCATCAAAATTCTGACTTAAATGAAGTTCTAGAAGATATAATCTCTTTTTAACAAGTGTCAAAATAATAAATGATTAAATTCCCTAGTCTAAAATTTTCCATAATTATTTCTGCTTTCTTCATAAAACAAGTCACAAACATAGCTTATTTGAAATAATAAAAAACTTTATTCCTTTCATTTCTTCTTTTCATATCAAATAGAACAGCCAAGTATAATAAAATTTTCCAAATTATAGACATTTCCAAGTACTCAGGAAAAAAAAAAAAAAACCTTACTAATTTTAAAATTTCTGGTAAGTTGTTCCCCCAAATAAAAGGCAGGACCTCCTACCATCACATATAACATTACAAAAGCTGTACTACAATTAGATGAATAAATAATAAACCTATACTGTTACCCAATTCATAATATAATAAAAAGGCCTGATTAAAACAAGCCTGTTATTTCCTTTGTATAAATAACCTAAATTCCCAAAATTTTCAGTTCCCGGTTACCTACAAATGATCAGAATACCTTTTACATATCAAGTTTCTAATAGTTTCTCACTAATTTAGCAATCACTCTCTGTATTATATTTACTTCATTTCCACAAAATCTCCCTCTCATCACTCACACAAGTATAATTTCTAAATTATTTTTATAATTCTTACATCGTTTCCTCTCATTACTGAACTTCATTTTGAATTATTATAGACACCCTCAAATCTAACAATATAGATCATTCTCATTCTATCAGCCTAATCAAACACACAAAAGAGACAACCATCTAAGATGATTAGTACAACAAAAGATTACTCTGGCAGCCCTCACAAATCAAGCAGAAGACTTGGGGAAAGTCCTCAATCTGTTCATTGTTATCTAACTATTGCTAGAAAATTCAGGAAATGCCACTATTATGGAAGGGATAGTCATAGATCTACAAAAGCCAATACATGTGGACATTTCATTTGTATCTATACAGAATTGGCTTCTGATTATCTGCACAATGGAGGGACAAGGAACATAGATGATGCAAAACACATAATCCTCAAACCACTTACAGATACATTTTTGTACCTGTATTTCACAGGACTATGTCTGAGAATTCAAAACACAAAGATTAAGCCAAAGAGATAAGAGTCACAAACACAATTACCAAAACAATGGTAAAATTAAAATGCCATTATTGATTTGCATTTGTCATCTTCTGTTTATTTCTGATGGTGGCTCGAAGTTTACGTATTACCAGTCTATCAGGCAGAATCATATCACCTTGTTGTTCCAGATAATCTAGTAAATTTTCAGTCCATTGGAGAGCAGCTGCATGATTAATATGTTTCTCTGGAATCAGTTCTATTTCCTCTTCCTCATTTTCACTGGATTCATCTGTCTGGCCTTGTGCTCTTCTGATGATTTCGCTGTCAGTTAAGACTTCATAGCCTGGTTCAGTACTGTCCACTTCAAGCCATTTTTCAATGTTCTCAGTAGTCACATTTTCCAATCCTTTGGTGTGCTGTAAAATGGTGGCCACAGTAGCTACCGAAGTATCTTCTTTATCAAACTCCAAGCATTCTTTCTCCTCTATGGTAGGGAGAATCTTCTTCCATGCTCTGCTAATGGTAACTGGCTTTACTAAGTTCCATGCCATTGCTACTTCATAGAGTGCATCTAGCAGAGTCAGCTTTTTCCAAAATGATTTCAGGTCATTACCTTCTTCCAAGTTGTTCTGGAGAAGGCCTGCACGATAGTTTCTCTTCATTGTTGCCATGACCCCCTGATCCGAGGGCTGAATCAATGAAGACACATTGGGTGGTAAATATTTAGCAAATATTTGGCCATCATCTGACCTCAGGACGTTTTCATTTGGATGTGTTGGTGAATTATCCAACAACAGCACAGCCTTTTCCTGTAGGCCTTTGGACCTTAAATACTCTCGAACTTGTGGCACAAAGATCTTATCAAACCATTGTCGGAAAATGGAAAGATCCATCCATGCACCTTTTTGGCTAAAATAAGAGACCGGCAGGTTTGAGGTGTCAGTTGACTTGAAGGAACGAGGTTTCTTTGCTTTCCCCACAACACAAAGTTTAAGTTTATGTAAGCCTGTTGCATTCGCACAACACATGACAGTGACTCTTTCTTCAATTGATTTGTGCCCAGAAGCAGTGCATTTACCTTTGATTACTGAAGTTCTGGAGGGTAGACACTTCCAAAACAGTCCAGTTTCATCTGCATTGTAGATTTGTTCAGGCTGCAAATTTTCTTGTTCGATAAAGTCTCGAAAGTTGTTGCAAAATTCTTCCACAGCAGTCTCGTCTCCATTTAACCTTTCATTTCTAATGTTAATCTCTCTAATGCTGTGCCGTTGTTTAAAACGAGTTAACCAACCAGCAGAGGGGTTAAAATCACCATCCATTCCCAAAGCATAAAAGAAGAACTCTGCCCTTTTTGCACAAATTGGTCCAGATATGGGATTCCCTTTTGCTCTCTGCTGGTTAAACCATTCCAGCATTGCTCTGTCCAGTTCCTCATACATGGACGGCTTCATAGATTTTCTCTTGGCCAGAAGACTTGTAGAATCAGAACTGCTTGCATATGTTATAATCTTTTCCTTATTTTTTCTTATATCCCGAACTGTTGTTTCACCAATTCCATAAATAACTGCCAATTGTTTGGAAGAACCTCCGTCTTCAAGTTTCTTTATTATATCGAGCTTATCTTTAATAGTCAACACCACACGCTTCCGTTTCCCTGACATGGTAAGGGAAGCAATACCCAAAATCCCTCCTTCCCTCACACAGACTCACTTTTTCAGACTTACAGACTTTCAACCTTAGCAAGAAGAACCTGGTGGCCCTGACTCCCTCCTCGGCTGGGCTTGACTAAAAAAGAGATGGGAAAAGGAGAGGAAAGGGGAGGGAGGTTGAGGGAACAGGCCTTTAACTTAGATGGACAGCAGAGACGGAGGCCCCACGTCACCGCGGATAATCCGGATTACAGACATTTGTTTTATCATCCCAGTGGCCGCGAGAAAGACTATGACCCTATCGTAGCCACAAACCTCCTCCACACCCAGAGCCCGGTTAAGCTCCCGTCACTAACCCCGCCGAGCCCCAAAGTTAAGGCAAAGAGCAGAAGAACCACGGAGGAGAGGACTGGCGCCCGCCCGGTCTCCCCCTTCCCCAGTGGAAGGGTTACGTTTGATCCCTTCTCCAGTTGCCAAGCCCTCCCGCCGCACAGCGTTGCTTCGTCGCGCGCGCCAAGCTTAGTCCGGACAGGCCTCCCGGTACCTCACAGCCCGCCAGGC